TTCTAACGTAAACAGAAGGACAACAGTAGAAGAGAGATGAGTCCTTTGTATATGTGTCATTGTGCAAAACACATGTGAGAGGGGTAGCACATGTGAGCTCTGCTAACCTTCATCTGCCCCAAAAAGCCTGGTTCTCAAGGGTACAGTGTCCCATTAAAGAAAGTGTGTTGGTGCATGTGTGTGACAGTCTGTTCAGTGTCCATGGTGACATCTTCTGTCCAGAAGAGCGTTGCAGTGGTGTTTCAGTTTTTGTGCTCACGGTGTAGCCATGTTCTGCTTTGTTCTTCCTCGACATGGAGTGATAAAAAGATTGATCAGGCTAGTGGTAGTGTGCCACACTCTCTCTCTCTCTCTCTCTCTCTCTATGACCAGGAGCACATGTCACTACCTGCGGGGTCTTAACGTCACAGGACATGTCACATTTTGTATTTACACCTCTCATCATGCTGTCGAACAGCTCTCATTTCAGTTTCATGTATATGCACTGGTTTATGTGTGCATGTTTCACATTAAAAGCCTACCTAAAGGGAGGAAAAATGCTCAATGTGAAACACCAGTGCTGTGTTCAGTGTTAGCTTCCGTCAAAGTACAAGCAAGTGGAATTAGTGAATGAAAACAGTATCTCTGTTAGACTGTTGTAGTGATGGAATCCATCCAAGCTAACCCTGATGACATTATCAGGGTTATGTTTTTATACTCAAGAAAGCTCCCCTAAAGACAGAATAAATGGCCGTTTAGATGTTGCATCTGACAACGTGTAGCCTAGAAGCAATGAAGACTTTTATGCAGTCCCTTTTAGCCATCCGTCCCCAAATCTTTTCAAATTCATCCAGTCTGTCCTTAAGAATGTTAGTTTTTCTCCAGGTCGAGGGTGTCTGTCAGTGTTGTAATCCAAGAGTTAAAGGTTGGTGCATCTATCTTTTTCCAGAACAAGAGAATAAGTTTCTTTGCACAGAGGAGACCATAGGACAGGTGATAATATTGCGCACTGTAGGTTTTTATTGTTTTCTCATGCCCCTAGTATAACCAAGAGTGGATCTGGTATTATATTGACTATAGACTAAACTGTATCAAACAGTGCCTGCCATTAGGGGAACAGGTGTTAACATATTTCAATACTCTATCCCAAATGTCCTCTCCTATTTCTTTGCATACATTTCTATGTAGTTGAAGAAGTCTTTCTTTGATGGCCCACATTTCTCCTGAAGCTGCTGAAACAATGCAAATGTACCCCAGATAAATCCCCCACATTATATAACCCTTACTCCTTCCAATGATCAAAGGTAGGAGTAAATTATGGATTTCCCGAAATCTCAATGTAAAAGATAGTGCCATGAGCTTAAAATGTTTTGCTGTTTGTCTCCAAATCTAAACAGTACTGTGAATAATCGGGTTATAGTTATAGCTTGATTTGAAGAGAGTAGGGTAAACAGTCCTCTCGCTCCATATCTAGCCAATTGGCAAGCACAATTGTCTTATCCAGCCAACAGGAGACACATAAAATGTACCAACACCGATACCCCACCAATGCTACATAGTACTCCTCATGATGGGTAACTGAACTTCATGTGTAAAATCAGTGCAGCGTCCCTTTAACAGCAGATTAAAATATGAGCGGAACAGAACAGGGAGGCTATTTTTTAAACTAAAATCTAAGTAATTATACCAAACCAATTGAACCAGGTATAACTATGAATGAAGACCTATCTTTACTGTGTTTTGGCCCGTTTTAGTTAAAGGCCTCATTGTCTACAGTTGAGGTAAACAAACTCAAACTTACAGTTCTTGGACTTTATTACGAGTGCAACTAATGATTATTCAGCATTCACAAAGAGAGCACACAGACCATGTCTCCTTTATGGGACCACATCCCTGAGGAGATGAGACAGAAATGGAAGCAGTCTGTGAAGGGTCAGTAAAGGATTATGAAAGATTCTGACAGATAAAACGAAAACTAAATATAATTTTGGAATGTGTTTTTTGTTGTAAAAATTGTTATATTGCCTCATGTGATTCCTTTTTTGTGACATTTTAAAAGTGTAAAAATGGTCAATCACCACGTATAGGGCTGTACAGGATACCAAAACACAATGATTCTTATTTTCAGGTGATTATACATGAATAAAAACATACCTATGAATAATATATTACATTTCTGCCTATAGATCCTCCTAAATGTTACACACTGGACAATTTGTGGATTTGTGTTTGTGTGTGTGTGTGTGTGTGTGCGCGTGTGTGTGTGTGTGAAGGCAAAGAGAGGTTAAACAGGTGTGTCAGAAGCTGGTGGCAGAGTGTGAAGATATTCTGACTTTAAAGTTCTCTCCAAACTCTTAGCCACTGGTTTTCACTCCTACGTCTAGACAATAAGCTGTTTTTCCAAATGTAGAAACATGAACTCTCTCTTTCTTTCTTTGACAGAATTACACAAACACACACACACCCCTCTCTCCCCTATGTATTCCACCCTCAGTAGAGGTATTTTTATCCTGACTACTGCTGGAGTAGCCTTGGCTAACAAGTTCTGTCACTTCGTTATGTGTGTGTGGACATATGGGGCTCTAGAGACATACAGACACACACACACACATACTGTATACACGCATAGCAGCAGCTTCTTATATCATCCCTAGAAGTTGTTTATTGTGAATGTTATGTAAGCAGTTGGACATGCTGCCTGGGCTGTGTGGGAGCTTGTTTCACCTCAGCACTCTGATTGTGCCAGCAGAGACCCTGTAGCCCATCTGTTGAGTAGGAGCTCAACTGACCCACGTAGAAAAACTACTTCTCTCCTCTCCACTACAAGATTTAAAAAAATTAAAATTAAAATTAAATCAATTGAACTCCAGTGCCTAAAAGTTGCCCCAATCAGTAACTCTGGAGTATTCAGATGACATGACCCGCTGCCTCTCCAAACTTCCTTTAAATGAGCAGCTGTACAAAGTGACTATTGGGAATCTAAATTGACTGTTAAAATTCAAGTTTTTTTTTTTGTATAGTTTAACAGGACTATGACGTTTTCCAAACACCACCGTGTTTTTCCAGTTTATATATCACACACAGACTTTAAAAGTCTTCAGAAGCATTACATCTGACAAAAAGATCTAAAAACACTGAAGTATAATTACAAGCATTTCATAGGTGTCAAAGGTTTTTATTGACAATTACATTAAGATTTTGTCCTCTGCTGTTCGCCATGGCATGCTGTCAATTAACTTCTG